GCTGCAGCAGCACCAGCACCAGCAGCGGCGGGCGGGACACGGCGGCGGGCGGGACGGGGACGGGGGCGAGGGCCGCGGAGATGTCGGCGGTGGCGTCGATGGCGGTGGCGTCGATGGCGGTGCGGATGCAGAGCGCCGGGCAGCAGCGGCGCATGGGGCGGGCGCCGCCGCCGGCCGGGCACGGGGGGAGCGGCGGAGGCGGCGGCGGGGCGGGGAGAGGGCGTGGGGCGGCGGGCGGGGCCGGCACCGAGGGGGAGGATGGAGGGCGATGCGAGGGGGAGTGAGGGGGTGATGCCTAAGGGGATGATTCCTGAGGGGGAGATCCTTGAGGAGGATGAGCGTCCATCCCTGAGGAGCACTTTTGGATATGAGGGGGCGATCCTGAGGGGGCTGAGGGACGATCCCTGAGGGGCTCTTTTGAGGGGGCATTTCCCTGACGAGCAGCAGAGGGGAGCAATCCCTGAAGGGCACTTTTGAGGCAAGAGGGGATGAGACCCCCTAAGGAACCAGTGTGGAGGAATGAGAGAGGCAATTTTGGGGATCTCTGAGGACAGTTCGGGGGATGAGGGAGAATAAGGGAATGATCCCTGAAGGGCTGATCCCTGAAAAGGATGGGGACTATCCCTGAGGGGCAAAAGGGGGTGACCCTTGAGCAGTGAGGGTCAGTCCCTGAGGGACAGTTTTGGGAATGAGGGGGTGATCCCTGAGGGGAATAAAACGATGATCCATGAGGGAATAATCGCTGAAGATGATGAGGGGCCAAACCTGAGGGACAGTTTTGAGGATAAGGGAGCTTTTCCCTGAGAAGCAACGTGGAGGGGACGACAAGAGCAGCAATCCTTGAGGGACAGTTTTGGCGATGAGGGGGCAATCCCTGAGAGGGAGTAAAGGGATGATCCAGGACGGAGTAATCCCTGAATGTGATGAGGGGCCAAACATGAGGCACAATTTTGAGGATAAGGGAGCATTTCCCTGAGGAGCAATGTGGAGAGGGCGGCAAGAGCAGCAATCCTTGAGGGGCAGTTTTGGCAATGAGGGACTGATCCCTGAGGAGGATGAGGGCACATCCATGGGGTGAAAGGAGGAGGAGCAAGGCATGGGAGTGATTTCCCGAGGAGCAATGAGGGTGTCAGGGGGTGAGGGGAGCAATCCCTGAGGGGCAGTTTTGAGGGATAAGGTTCCCTGAGGAACAGCGTCGGGGACTGACAGAAGCAATCCCTGAGAACCAGTTTGGAGATAATGGCGATTCCCTGAGGAGCAATGTGAGGGGGTCAAAAGGGAGCAGTCTCTGAGGGGCACTTTTGAGGGATAAAGGGAATATCCTGTGAATGGGGTTGTTCTGAGGAGGATGAGGGAGCCTAGAGAGCAGTTTGTGAAGGGATGAGAAATGGGAGGGCAATTCACAGAGAAGAGGTTGAGACTTAAGGGGCTGAAGGGGATCAGTGCTGGGGGTGAGGAGCCAGGGAGTTTTGGGCCGTGTGGAGGTGAAGGTGAATTGGAGGTGAATTGGTGCATGATCTCATGCACCAGCCATTCCTCTGCAGCAGACCCAGGCCTCCAGCATCCCCAGGCCCCTGCTTCCTGCCCAATTCCTCACAATAATCAGAGTTACTGGCTGCTACTGGTAACACAGGCCTGGAGCACCACAGGACACCACATTACCAGGCCCACCACGGGTATTACCCTGCACAAACCCAGGAGCCACAGCACCCTGACAGTGCCCTGCTGCTCCTGCTGGACCTGCTCAGCCAGAAACCACTGGCCAGTGTTGTCCCCAGCGATGGCATCTCCTCACCAGGCAGCACAAGGTGGAGATGGTGCGGGGGCAGGAGCTGGCTGCAAAGCAGAAGATTAATTAAGAGGCTGTGCCACTGCCTCGCTGTGATCTCAGTAACTGAACCGTTAAAGTGATTTATTCTTCGAAGGGTAATTACATTCCCCCTTTCCATGTTATCCATCCCCTGATCTGTGCTGCACACACACCCAGTCAGGAGCAGGCGTGTGGCCCGTGAGTCCATGTGTCAGAGGGGAGATGGCCTGGCTGCCCCTTCTGCTTCCTGTGCCTTGGTGTTACTGCTTCTGTAGCACACAGAGAAGTGCTTGTGTGGATTGTGTGCTGTTGGTGTGGATTGTGTGCTGTTTGTGTGGATTCAATGCTTCCAGACCCTCACACAGCTCTGGGATCTCTCCATGGGCCACTATGGCCGGACACAGCAGTGCTGCTGCACCACTGATTTTGACTGAGGGTCCAGCCTGGCTTTGTATTTTGTTATCAATACCCATTTCTGCTGCATTCTGTGCTGTCAGGTTTCTTGCTGCATTTTTAAAGGTACATTTCACATGGACAAGTTTGGGAAACTCCTATGCAGAGCTCTTGTCCTAACAGTCCCAGTGAAGGCAGGAATGAGTAGGAGCCTTTAAAATCAGACAACCACAGAACCATAGCATCATTAATATAAGAAAACATTTTAAAGATCAAGTCCAATTGTCACCCCAGTATCCCACCATGTTCACCACTAAAGGATGTCACCACATGTTTTTTGAACACTTCCAGGGCTGGGAACATTTACATTTAGAGTATTAGAAATAGTATTTTTCAAAGGAACAGTCCTTTTCCCTGTGAAATCTTTCATTTATTAATAATAACCAGGCATTCAGTACAGCTGTATTCTCTCTTAAAACACTGCATCCTTTCCTTTTCAGCACCATTTCCCCGGCACATCACTCCCCCCCTTTCTGGCCCAGCTGCTTCCACGGATTTCAGCGTCACACTTTTCCCTCGGGGCCGTGCAGCCTGGCCGCCTGCCCGCTCCCTGCCCAGGCCTGTCCTGCTCGCGGGTGCTCCTTTCGGGCCGGGAACATTAGAGGGAGCTGGAGACTCGCCGTGCCCGGCTGGATGGCTGGAGGCGGCTGGCAGGAATGGCCTGCAGGCACGTCCCAAGCGCCGGGGGGTCACTGGCCGTGTCATCCCACACGTATCCAGCTCCGGGAGTGCCGCTGAGGGGCTCCTGCTCTTCCTGGGAGGTGCTGGATCACCCAGCCCAGCCCATGCTGCTGCTGGAGGCTGAAGTTTAGTCACCATAGCATTCCCTGCTCCAAAATCCCAGCAAATTCACCCTCGACAAACTGTCGAGAGGTCGGTGTGCCTGCCAGGGAGGACGGGTGCTTCTCCATCACCTGGGGTGGGGATTCTGCACCCGTTCAATCCTGGTCTTCCCAGCACCACCAGCCTGCTCTGTGCCATGCTCACAGTGCCAGCCCTGCCACCCTGCATCTGACAGATCCTGGCTATTCAGCCCGTGGTAAACTAAATCAGGGTGGTTTGTGTTGTGGCAGGAGCCAGAAGCTTAACTCGAGAGCAGTGTAAGGAAACACAGACATGGCCCTCAGGGACAATGGATCTGTGTGGGACACTCACCATGACACTGTGGGATGGGGTGACAGGTTTGCTGCAGCAACCCAGCACCAACCCCACGGTGATCAGACCAGAGAAATAAAAAGATGAGTGTCCTACAGGAGACTTTACCACCCCAAAAATAAACTTGGGAACGAACACTCCTGTAAAAGGCCCGGTGTCATTATTTCTGGGTCTGGTAGCCAACAGATTCCTTCAGAGATCAGGCACTGGGCAAAGGCAGTGCTGTTTTAGCTGGGCCATTCACAGCATCACCCCAGCAGTAATGCTGGGCAGGGAAATCGCTGGGGTTCAGCTGGTGGCATGAAAGCTGACCCCATCCAGGGCTGGACATCAAGGGTGTCACAAGGCTACAAGCAGCTGGAATGAAACCAGTGGGACCAGAGTCCTCAGAGTTGGAGAGCAGAGAACATCTGGCCTTTCTTCACCTCATGGAGGCAGAAAAAAACTTTAGAATGTGTTCTCCAAGCAAAAGCTGGAATTGTGTATTCCAAGCAAAAGCCAGGCAGATGCAGCTCTCCCCTGGCTGAGCAGCTCACCTCAAAGGAGGCATTTTAGGGTGTAAGAAGCTCCAAGGAAGACTGCATGGCAAAGACAGAGACATCCTGGGTGTGAGGCAGAGGAGGGCAAAGTGGGACCTGCCAAACCCTGTGACTGAGCACAAAACCCTGATCCAAACCTCCAGCCAGGTGAGAAGGTGACTCACAAGGCCCAGGGCCCACTCCAGCCACGGGCACAGCTCTGGTGGGTTTTGGGAAAACCTGGCCCTGCTCTGCTCCCACTGACTGACCACAGCTCCCATTGCCCGTGCAATGCCACCCAGAGCTGGAATCCTGTGGCAAAGCCAGACCTGCACCCGTGGCTCTCCAAAATTCACACTTCACCATCCAAAATGACAAACTAGGCTGACCAAGGCCTTTCCCGGACAGTGGAGGAATCAGGCGTGCCATGCTGTGCCAGTGCCACTGAGGCTCCTGGTGCAGAGGGAGCAGCCACAGGAAACACAGGCAGGGCCAGACCTGTGTGCTGGGCTCTGCTGGAGCTCACTCACTCCCTGAGATGACTTCAGAAGGAGAGCCTGCACACACCAGTCAAAACCACACCAAAATGGCACATCCTACCAAAAAACCACCCCAGATGGCTGGTTTGGGTTGCCTGGATAGGAGACATGATTCTCTGCAAAATGCACAGGAGTTCTTTCCTTCTCTGCCCCATCCCAGAAAACATTTTAAAAGCACAAAAAGGAAAATAAAATATTTTTTTGATCCAAAGCAGCTGTTTTGCATCAAAACACACTTCACACCTTCCACTCCGCATTGTCCAGTGCGTGTCTGGGGTTCACTGATGGTTCAGGAGAGCAGTCTGGTCTGAAGGAATGCATGTTACTCACTCCAGGGTGGTTTTTTGGGTAGACGTTGAACCACAATGTTGGTTAATCATCCAGCTCATCATTTGTCACAGCAGAGCCGGGCTCAGACCCAAAATACTGAGGACACTTCATCTCTGCTCCTGCCCAGCTGCCTCAGTGCCCTGTGCTGAGGGCAGATGTGACCCCACCAGCCACCCCAGCGCTGCGGCCACTCAGATCCTACCGTGACCTGATGGCTCTGCTAAATCCTGCAGACAGGCACGAGCCACCACGTCACCCAAAGCCCGGCTGACCCCCTGCGTCAGCCAGGCCACCCCGGTGGCTCGGCAGTGGCCCCTTCCCTGTCCCTCTGGGCCAGCGTGGGCGGCACGGCGCTGCTCCTGCTGCGGGGCTTTTCTCCAATGCAAATCCACACCAGGGTATTTATAGCACCCTTATCCCGGCGGAGCCTATTTTGGGCTGATGCTCAGGCACCAGAGCAGCACAGGTTATTTTAACCCAGCGCTGGGTTATTTTCAGAGTTGCCCTTCTCTGCACGTGCTCAGGAATGGTTTCCAACTACCAGGCGTTTTCTGGGGTTGGGGAAACTGGGGAAGGGGGAGAAGAGGGACCATGTGAAGGAATTTCAGAGATTTAAAGATAAACCAGCATCTTTGACACACCTGTCTGGGATCCACCTGGAATTTTGGAAAGAGGATTGCCTGCAGGAGAACTCTTGAGCAAAAGGCAGGAGAGGAAAGATCTCTGAAGCACACAGCTGAGGGCCCAGTGATGGTGAAACAACATGCAAGAGAGGAAGAAGGGCCAAGAGCTGGATGCTCCTAAAATGTCCAGGGTCACAAGCTGTTGGCCCCAGGCCCAGGAGGGAGCAACAGCTTTGTTCAACAGAGGCAGGAACAGCACCATGGGATGGGACATGCTCCTCATCCTCAGCATGGAGGGAACCCCAGCTCTGTTCTCACCACATGCCATCCTGGAACAGCCAGGGAAGGGAGACCTCTGGTGTCATCCTGTCCTGATCCAGATGCTGCAAGACGCATCTGCAGCATTTACCAAGCAGTGAGCCTGGATTCTCAGCAGTGCTGCAGTGGGGATCTCTCAGCTCAGAGCTGGGAGCAGCAGCTGGTCCATGGCAGAGCCCACAGCCCATTCCCCAAAGCAGGGGTGCCATGGATGGGGTTCTGCCAGGGCAGCAGCACCATGGCAACACACCCAGAGGGATCCAGCTCCATCCCCCAGGATAACAGCAGGGCTAGAGAAGTCAAGATTTAAAATGTTTATTTTAAATTCCACAAGGTCTTGCCTTGTCCATGTAAGAAGGCTCAGCCTTTTTCCCAGCCTCCAGTGCCCACGACCTTCCCTATCCCACCACACTTTCCTCTTGCCTGTGTCCCCCCCTGACCCATGGAGGGGTGGGGGAGATGTGCCAGGAGTGTCTCTGGGGGTGGCAGGGCAGTCCCAAGGCCACTGGGTGCAGCTGGCAGGGAGCACAGTCCTGCCCCGTGACCTCCAGCTCCCATTGGGATTGAGAGGATCACACCATCCCGCTGGGAAAAGTGAGTCAGGGCCTGAGCCTCTGCCAGCCCCTATTCCTGGCCTCCCACCCCAGCCACACGCCCAGCCCCCGTGGGCCAGCCCCAGGCTGGGAAGGACCAAGTGAGAGTTGGGGAGGATTAGGGGGAGAGGAGCCCCTGGATGGGGTGCCACCCACTTCCCAACCCCCCATGCAACACGCCCCACCTGCCACAGCCACCTGCCCACCATATAGGTCTCAATGCATTTTTATTAAATTCTTACAAAACAGAATACAAAATTCTGGCATCAACAATTGTTATAAAGGAAAACTTCAATTCAGCTGTATCAGGTCACCTGGTACATACAGTAAAGTGCTTCTTTTTGTGTGTTTGTTTTTTTTTTCTTTTTTTTGTTTTTGTTTTTTTGTCTTTTTTTTTTTTTTTTTTAGATTTTCATTTTTATTTCCCAGCCAGCCCCTGAGCAGAGGCCGCTGTTGCACAAACCAACAGTGCGTTAACGTGACTCTTGTTGAACCAGCTTTGGCAGTCTTCATCAATTGTAAAGTGGAGAAAGTTTCTCCTGGTTTGATAAAAAAGAGTTAGCTTCACAGTAAACGTTTCTAACCAGTTCTAAGTCGAGTTAGTTGGCTGGAGGAAGGGTGGGGGGGAAGGAGAGGAAGCGAAAACACTTAACATTTCCAGCTTAAAAAAAAAAATATTTTTTTGAAGTTGGTTTCCAAGATAGATGCTCTATGGGGGGGAAGTTTGGAAAGAGGAAGAGGAGGAAGAAGGGTGCTGGCGAGAGGGGGTCGCTGGTGCTGGACCACGGGAGCATCTGTCTGGAAACCAGCCCAGGAGGGGTGCTGGCAGCGGGGAGGGGACGTCTGGCCCTGGCACAAAGGTGTCCCCAGCCATGCCTGCCCTGCCAGGGCACCTGTGGGTGCCCAGCACTGCCACCAGCCAGGCTGGAGGTTTTCCAGTCGATCCCCAGCTCTAGAGGCATTTAAAGACTCTGAATCTACCAATGCACAGACCTGGCCTTGGGTCACCCCCCAGTACCACGCCAGGAGCACCGGGTCCACACCAAACCCCACCCAAAATGCAAAGCTGAGCCCAGGCTGAGCTCGGATGCTCCCAGCACATCCTCCAACTCCCACAAACTCCCACAGCATCTTCTGGCTGCACATCCCTGGCCGAGGACACCCACGGGACAGAGGCAGGGTCACCCAGGCCTTCCCCAGAGTGTGTGGAGTACTTTTATATAGAGAGATATAAAAGAGATCGCTCTTATGCATGGGGGAAAAGGGGAAACTCAGTTTGCCAACAAAAGCAGCACGGGGAACAGATAAATTTTGGAGACATCCCCCTGCCATCCCCTTCCCATGATTTTTTTGTTTTTTAAAAAAAGGCTGCAGCGTGCAGCATCAATGATAGCTTCACAATACCAGCTCAAGGCATCGCGTACTGTACATCATTCAAGTATTTCTTAATATAAGACAACAAGGAATTATCTACAACTGATAAAACAAAATAAGCTATAAAAAGTAACAATGTACAATCAAGATGGATTTTTTTTTCTTTCTGTTAAAGGAGGCCTCTCCAGGGTGTCCCGGTGCCTGCAGGGAGGGTCTCCCCTCACCACTGCCTTGCTCCTCCCCACCCAGCACAGTGGGACTGGGGACACACAGGGGAGAGGGAGATCACAAGTGCAAGGCAGTTTTGGGGGGTGGGATGGGGATGAAGTCACCCTCCCCAGCCCCCCAGGGTCAGCAGAAAGGCTGGGAAGGGTGAGAGAAGATGGTCCCTGCCCTAAACTCCACCAACACCCGAGATCATCATCTCCCAAGATAACACACACACCTCCCTGAAACAAAAAACAACATATATTGCATAGTATTGCTGTCAGCAGTCTTAAAATAAAAAGGAGAACTTTCTTTTTTTTTCCAGAGACAGTGACTGTCTTCAGCTGAAGACCCAGGGAAGTCTGCTCCCCAGCTCAGAGCTCCCAAACCCTCACCTGTGCACACGATGGGCCGAGGCTGCTTTTGCAAAATATAAAGCTCAAAGCACTGAGTCAGAAGGGACAGGAGGAGGCTGTGAAGGGGGCACTGCCCTCCCAGTGTGATTGGGGCTGGCAGCAGGTGCAGCTTGGTGGCACAACCCCAAGCAGTGCCTGTGGCAGGGAGCAGGGGGTGTCAGGGGGATCTGGAGGCCAGTCTGGCCCTGAGCACAGGCCCTGCTCCCCTGGACAGACCCAGAAACCAGCCAAGGGCCTCGCCCCAACTCAGCATCCTGAGTCCTTCCCACCCTGAAGCGAACTCCAAGGAAAGGACAATGCCATGCACGCCTGAACACACGTGAGCAGGGCTGCACGTGCCTGACCACCCACACCAGCTCTCTCCCTGCTGAAGATCCTGGTGCTCTGACCCCAAACCTTCCAGCCCCACATGCCAAGCTGTCCCCAGGCTGCTCCCTAGCCTTTGGGTGCTGCCACCAGCCTGACTGCTCACCCACGGGCACCCCTGGGGCATTGGGTACCCTCTGTGCCCCCCAACCCTCCTGCCACGGCAGCCTCGGGGCCAGCCTGAAGCCACGGCAGGTCTCGCTGTCCTGCAGCAGGTCCTGATGCTCTTTAAGGGGGTCCCTGCTTTCCACAGAGCACACAACTCCCAGAGAGTGTTTCTGCCTGCTCTGGCCACCCTGAACACCTCATCCCCCATGCACCTCCCCGGGGGCACAGCCACCAGCCCTTCCGAAACCCAGGGTGCAACACCTGACCTGGCACAAGAGCACAGCCCTGGATGCCCGTGCATCCCCCAGGGAGCCACCAGCCGGAGCGTGGGAGGAAAGGAAGACATCTCTGTGCCCTGTAGAGAAGCACAGCTGGCAGTTTAAAACCAACAGTAATTAAAAAGGAAAGGAAAAAAGAAAAGGGGCAAAAAGAAAAAGGGTGAATAGCTTATTCTGGAAGCAGGATGCCAAGGAGAGAGGGTGGGTTGGGTGCTGCTCCTTTGCTGGCACCGTCTCTCCCCAGCCCGAGCTGTTCCCTGCACTGTGTCCCCCTGGAGCTGAGCTGGGGACACCCCCAAACACAGGACAGAGGGGCTCCCCACACCTCCCACACCTGGGAGGTGCCTCCCAGCCCCCCAGGAAGGGGTTTTTGTGGGAGTTACCCCAACATCGGAGAAAACCTGCAGCTCCGAGGGGAGGGACGAGGTTAAAACGCAACTCCCGTTGTTGAAAACGCGACCGAGGGTCTTTTGTTCACAGTATGAAATGAGCTGAAATCGTCAAAGCAGCCGCGGATACAAAGAGTCCTTTGGTGTCAGGGAGGGGGAAAATGTCAGAGGAGAAACCAAGAGCTGGGAAACAAAAGTCCATGTGTCTGTCAGATGTCCTTGAGTGTGCCCTGGGTGAAGCAACCTCACACTTGATTTAATACCTTTAAAAAAAAAAAAAGATCTTAAACAAACCCTCCCACCCCCAGACCTACAAGATCAGCAAAACCTTGGAAACCAGCCACAGGGACGAGTCCTGATCTTGTCACTAGCCAGAAATGGTGGGGTCAGGGAGGGAAAGGGGAAGAAAGAAAGGAGGAGAAGAGGGGACATGGGGTACAGCAGGTGTGAGGGGCACCACTCAGGCTTGGTCGGCCACCAGGACCAGCGGGGCCACCAGGTGCTGCCCAGAGGCCACTGCCTTGGCCAGGCTGCTCTTCTGCCGCCGCTTGGCCAGCTTGGACTCAGAGGGGGGGGAGAGCTGCATGGCCCGTGAGGTAGCTTTGATGATGATGGGTCGTGCTTCCTCCTCCGCCTCTTCCTCCTCGTCCTCGTCATGCCGTGTCAGCTGGCGGTTGACAGCGATGGCCTCAGCAGCAAAGGAGGTGAGCTCTTTGGCACTGCTGTTCCTGCAGGGGAGGCACGGGCTCAGGGGGTTGTGGGGGGATGGAGGGAGGTTGGGATCAAATATCCAGGTGTCCCTCCTCACATGCTGGCCGTGCCAGACTGGTCAGACACCAAAAAATCCAACCCAAAGTGGCAGGGCTGCCCAGACACAGAGTCGTGGCAGAGTCCCCAAAAGGCAGAAGGAACAGACAGTAGTGCTGAGGAGTGGAGTCAGGATTCAGGGGCTGGAACTGACACTCACCTCTGCAGGATGATGGGGGTTGGCAGGGTGTTGTCCGGGGCACACTGCAACAAAATGCAGCCAGTCAGAGCCAGGACTGTGCAGACAGGTGTTCCCTACCCCGAATTTTGGGAACAGAGAGCGGGGAGGGGACATCAACACTCACCCCCTGCACCCAGGGGTGCTCCAGGACCTGGGCTGCGCTGAGCCGCTTCTTGGCATCTCTCACCAGCAGCTTGGAAATGAGGTCTTTGGCTCCAAAGGAGATGTGCGCCCAGTCCTTGTCAGGAAACTCGTACTTCCCCTCCTGGATGCTCTCAAAGAGCATGTTCTGAGCAGGGAGCGAAATAACAGGGGCTCAGCCAGGAGTGCTGCAGCCAAGCTGGGGGTGGGTTTGGGCGCTGCTGGGGTCCCCCACTCACCTGGCAGGTGTGGCACGCCTCACCCCGGTCCCAGCCGCAGTCAGAGCCGCAGTGGCCCACAAAGGGGGGGTACCCACTCAGCATGATGTACAGGATGACACCCAGGCTCCACAGGTCACAGCGCTTGTCATAGATTGAGGCCTCCTCATTGAAGGCTTCCACCACCTCTGGGGCCATGTACTCGGCTGAGCCACACTGCGGGGACAGGCGGGGTGAGCCCCAAGGGTGGGGAGCAATGGGGCAGGAGGTGAGCCCCAGGGGTGGGGAGCAATGGGGCAGGAGATGAGCCCCAAGGGTGGGGAGCAATGGGGCAGGGAGGACTGGGAGGGTCCTGCCAGATCTCCGGGGCTGCACCTCTGAATGGAAGGTGCAGACATGGCTGCTCCCCAGGTTGGCTCCAGCCACATGACCCTGCTGGGTTTCCCACCACAGAGACGCCACAGACCCACCTCTCTGGGGTCACCCAACAGCAGCTGCCACCCCGAAGGAAAAAAAAAATAAAGCCTAAAGGGTGTAACCCCCACGGCGCAGCACAGCCGGACCCACAGGACCCACAGCATTGTCATCACCCAACCGGCTCAGCGGGACAGCCCCAGCGCCTGGGAGCGGCCACGGGACACGGGGGGCCGAGCCTGCTGTGCTGCTCCCGGGCGGCACGGGCGGAGCTGCCGCGCAGGAGCCGGGGCGGGAGGAGTTAACCCTGCGCAGGGAGAGGCAGAGCCAGCGGCCCCATTCCCCTATCGCTCCAGGGACTCTGGGGCTTTCCAGCACATGACCCGCAGCCCACACAGGCCCCGTGACCAGGGGAGAAAAGAGCTGCAGCCAGCAGATAATCGCCCCGTAACGAGAGAGGCCGCCTGACGAGGGGCCTCTGCGGCCCCAGCAGCTGATGGCACCGCAGGAAAACAACCCGCAGCTGATCCCGCTGGGAGCGGAGCGGCCGTCCCGCTGCGCCCCCACGGGCTGAGAACGGGGAAACTCGGGGCACCCCGGGAGCTCGGATCCCGCCCCGGGAGGAGGCGGGCGTGGAGGAAGGAGGGGGCTGGGTGTTGTGGCCCTGCTGTTGTGCAGCCCGCACGGGCTCGGCTCCGCCCTCCCCGGCACGTTCGCACCCCCAAAACCCGGGGTGCAGGGCGGCACCCCGCGCGGGGGCACCTGCGGCTGGCGAT